ATAGGTGGCCCTGGCCCTGAGATAGAAATTTTATCAATTTAGCATTGTGAATGTAAAATGAATTAAATGTAATAGTTAAATTCCTTTCAAAATTTAATTAACTGTTTGTAAAGCATTTGAGTGAATGTTATATTCACCCACAGGTGAACAATACCTATAGAATTTATAGCCTATGTAACCGACGAATATATCATACGGTACGTGAAAGATTTTTAAAGTCAGTCGAGTAGTTTAAAAAAGCAAACAAACCATTAATTAAATATTTCCCCTCTAATATTGGTGTAGATAGTATAGATAGACAATACGATTAACAACGCCTGTTACTTTTAATTGGAAATGTAGCAGACCGTCTAACTCACACGTCGGAGACCTGCAGCAACTCTGTGCCCACAGGCAGGGGGCATAGACTATTGCGCGTGAGACGGGCTAAAAAGCCCGCGCGATATAGAGAATAGAATTTTTGTCTATGAAGAATATAATAATAAAGATGGCAGATTTTGCATGTGTAATTTTGATTGCGTTGTGTTGTGAATAATAAAGTATTTACCGAATCTCTCAGGCATCTTACTCACTAAAGCAATCATTATTATCATGCCGTATTTGCTTCAGCTTTTGTACAGTCAATAGCATAGGGGAAGGGAGGCATAATGGGGTAAAAATACTGCATAATTATTATGTTTATTATTATTATTAATTTATGACACGTTATATCGCTAATCTAATTATGAATTGGTACAGTTTTTGGAAATTCGACTAGATATCACGTTTTTAAATAATTACGGGGTATGATAGAATAATGAAATTGGGGCATGATGGTGATGCTTATAATTTACACAAAATAGACAAAGTGTATTTCCTTCACATCATCATTGTTCACGCCAGCAGAAGCATTGTGAGCCCATCGTCCACAGAGCTGGCAGCTTACTCAAGACTCATTGCTCTTATGTGTGTTTTTAACAGTCCGTTTGAACAACATATCATATCAAAATACACATAAGTGAACAAATAACAGAAAGACAAATTGGCTGATCATAATTATCTTATAATAATAACGCTTGACCTTCCATAATATTAGATTAACGAAACGTAGTAACAGTTTTCCGTTTGTAAACAAAAGACGCGCGCACTCCAACTCGCAGGTTCTTGCGCACTGACCAGCATTATGTATTATCTATGGCACTGACTCTAAGAGTATTTAAACACTACGTTTCTGACTATTGGTAAGTAGGCTTCCTATTGACTTATTGCTTTCTATTCATAAACGTATAATTTTTCGTATTTGTGCGGAACCCCGTCTTGACTCGGGGCCCCGTCATGCCCCCCTTTATATACGTTGTATAAAAATGACAAATTTCTCCTCTATTGCTTGATATGTTTATTTATTTTGATTTACCAACATTTAATAGATTATAACATATGTCGGCGCATCGATTGTACCACGATTATTCGATATTGAATCCTAAACGCGAGTGAATTCTTATTTACTCTGGCGAAACGTTAGACGGTCGGCCAATATGTCGTGATTATTTGATTAGAGGCGGACGTCATCGACGGAGGGCGTAATCATCGATACTTTTGGTTTTGTTGGGGTGGTAACACTGACTTTGACAGTTCGTTGACAAAAGCGGGTTGCCGCCATTTTGGTACACATTCTGTTTCCGATCGTCGAGGAGTAAAGACATCAGATAACATCACGCTGATCTCGTTATATTTTCGCATGAAAAGTAATAAAATGGAATAAGTCCACTTTGGTATACACGCCTGCAGTGTTATTTTAAAGATAGTCCTCCGATATGGACGATCTATTTGGGCTTCGTAATAGCCCCCTGAGACTACCCGCCGACACTTATAATAATAACTTGATTTAGCTTACAAGATAGGTACTTTTGTTACGGATATCAGAAACAACGGGGGAATACAAATATATACACAATATAAATAGAAAACACCCAGACACAGAACAGACATAATTGTTAATCACAAAACTGTTTGTCCTGAGTGGGGATCGAACCCACGACTCTCGGCGCAATATTACATTGGGGATCCATCAACAAATTTATTTACCGAATCTCCAACCCTCAAATACTAGTTTACAAACTTTTTCAATTAATCTTTACTGAGACTGAGACCACAAAAAAAAATAATGCTACAAAAGGTTATCGAGACCTTTTTCCGAAAATTACGCAGGCGAGATTAGACACACTTAAAAGTTTATAAGAGTAACAGCATTGCTTGAAACTACGAGTACTTTAAAATAGAAAAATAACATAACGCATACTACGTTTGATAAAAATAACAATCCTTGATCAGAAATTCCCACAAAACAATTTTAGACCATGTTATGGTCATTTTACAGTGAAAGGCATTAATAATTATTATCTTATCTTTTAATAAATATCTATTATATATAAATAAGATAAGATATTTATTATTAATCTTGTGGTATTAATAATTAATATCTTATCTTTTAGGTTTAGAATGGGACAATATTTGATCAAATTTACATTCACACTGGAAAATATTCTTAAAGAAAAATACTTAAAATAATTTCTCTGTTTTGAGTACTTCTAACATTTATTTCTAAATGCGTTGAAGTACATTATAACCTATTGTAAAAAAATATATATTATGTGCTATACTGTGTACACCTAATTGTATTTGACCTAGAATCAAAATCTATATAAGAGACAACTTGCTATTTTCTCGCGATTTGCCCGCGTTAATTAGGTATAGCCTTTTTGACCCGCATATGATGTAGGTTCCCGTAGTGAAAGAATTTATTTTTGAAATCTGTCCAATCAGTTTGGGACCTATTTATTGTAAAGAAACGTAAATCATATTTCTTTTGAATTTAATAAAATTTAAAGATCTAAGTGAAACACAATACTTACCATGCATGTGTTTCACTCTCTTTTTTCTTATAAATGTTGGTATAATATATATCGAGTTGCCGGAGAAATAGTAGACATTTCTGTGATCTAAAAGAAAGCCTTAAGAGAATGCCGCGAGCGATTAATGAAGCCAAGTACGTTAGACTTTCTTCAATTTTTTTCACTATTGGCGCTTATTAAAAAATCCTTCATTTTATTATCGTCACCTTCTCAGCCAATCTTTTTATTTAGGACTTACAAATAGTAAAATTATTTCTGGTTTATTTAAATTTAAGTAAAATGAAATCGTTCTATTTCATAATCCGTTGTCAGTTTTTACACCACAATTTGTATGAGTATATAATACAATATATTCTGCTATTTTTATGAACAGGCTAAAAACTTGGTTTAGGCTACTTATGAGTTAATCGCAATTAAAAGAATATATAATATCGAAACAATGAAAACTACTGTCAAAACATAAAACCAATAAGAAGAAAATATAATCCTATTTTTCGGATCGTAATTATGTACTAAGTAAGTTTGTATTAAATTTTGAGTTATTGCTCTTATCGTAAGGATTGCAGTATTGTTAAGCTTATTATAATAACAGCTGCTGCAGTGAATGAGTAATAAGAACTTCTGTAAAGAAATACTTTAGCTAGTAGCTAGTCTATTAACGCCAAGGGCATGCCAATGTCCACTGGAAATGAATGCCTGATTGTCAATTGCAGTCTCGTCATGGGCAGGAAATCAGTCTAAGTTAGGCCAGTCGAGTCATAAAGCACATGAACCATTTATGAGAAGAAAGTAAAACAAATTGTTATTATGTGTGTAAAGTGTAATTAAAAAAAAATACGTACAGAAATTCTTCGATTCTTTGTTTGGTACTACTACTTTTAGTTTTTACTCAGTTATTTTAGACATTTTTATATTTCAGCCAATTTAATATGTTTTTAAAATATTGTCTTTTTTACACATCAATTAAACAAAACATTACTGTACTTTTTAGTTTACCGCATTCAAACAGAGATTCAGACGCGACAGAGAGATTTTTCTTTATCATTGATTATTAGAACAATGGTGTCTTCTTAAATCAGTAGTGCCATATACATACTTATTTAATAATATTATTTTGTGATTAAAAAGTCTACAATATTTGTAAAGGAACTGTGTCTAAAAACAATCTGTTACAGAAATGCTATATCTGTTTACATTATGGCAGAAACACAAATCAGAAACAGTTAACAGTTTATCGGTTTTATACTTTTTCTATAGTTAAGGAAACATTTTTGTAATGTGACAAAATATATTAGCTTCATTCTAAAACAGCAACGACGAAGACGTATCGTGCCACAAATACATATGTGTTCCCGCCTTTAGTGTATCAAACAAAATTTGAAACGTCTCTGCCGATTTCTGAATTGAGAATTTAAAGTTAAGAACGTCTCAAACCTTACTTAAGAGTCACTTAAACAGGTTTTTTGTTTCTGAGTCACTTGATAGTTGTTTAATAAAACTAGATATTTTTGACTTATAAAACGTAAAAAACTTAAGTTATTAAGTTATTTTCAGTTGAGATTTTGTACTTTTCTTAATTCAGAAACCGGATCAAGTAGAAAACGCGCTCAGACCTATAGTTAAAATATTTCTTGGCCGGGAATATAAAATTAAATATAATAATACATGCATAAACGTGGCATTGGTTTTAAACTGTAAACATTAAGACATTAAGATTAAATTAGATTGGCACTAGTGCTGCATCAAAAAAAATGTGGTATAACCAGACGTACTGTTGACTGTTATCATCATCGTCAGCCCCCACTGCAGAGGCTCAGATTTTCCTTATGTATGGTTAAGGAGGGCCATGACCATAACCTAATGTGGATTGATTACCGACAGCAAATGCAGCCAGAACTAACGGCTTAACGTGTCTTCCAAAGCACGGACTAGCTCGGGATAGTATTATTTTGTTCGCCCATCCTGTGACTGAACCTTGCGAAATTTGCTAACAACAATGACTGCGAGTCACGGCACTTATCGACAGTGCCACCGAGTTAATACATTAATACGTTAAAATTAAAATAGAATGAAGTGCTGTGCTGAATAAAAACTAATTAAAAAAGTGGTACAACCAGACGTGAATAACACATAAATTAGTGAGGTAATTGTCCGTGATATAACATGTATCACGAACTGTAATAACAAAAATTAACATCACAGAATATTCTAAAATTTTAAGTCCAAGTGCTTACACAAATCGGGATTGTCCCACCACTGTCTAAATTTTTTTACTACAGTTATCTCTTTCATTTTCGCTACATCGTTCATTAGTGCACAGAGACCACAATACTCGTTGTGCGCACTGTCATCCTCATTTGTAAAACGATACTCGTAATGGTTCTTCCACCTGAAGTATTCCGCATAAATTTCAGGATTATTAATGAGGTTGTTCATTTTTGCTACCAACCTCTCTACGCCCAACTCCATCGCGTTCAAATAAATTCCATTTGGCATAAATCTGTAATCAATAATATTATTAATTAATATTTGGTTCATGTAAAAGTTATGTTACGTCAGCAGAGCGACCGTCTAACGTTGATTCTAAGCATAAGATGCGACATCTTAGCTATGTTATAACGATATTTCGTTTCATGTTACTACCTTGACATGTCGTTTGGTGGATTTTGGGATAAATAACCTGGTAACACTGCTATCAAATACATAATCATATTATAGTACATTTCAAAGTAGTAACTTGAAATATCTTTATAATATAGCTAATATGTCGTATCGCTTAATTTAAATTATGGTTAAATATTTAATTATAAAAAGTTTTAAAAAATATATAATTACTTTCACTAAAAACTAAAAAGAAAAAATCAAGCCCAGTAGTTTGGAATGTTATTAAGTACTAATGAATAACTGCTCCATTATATAGTTTTAAAATCTATATCGATTTTTTGTTTTATAATTAAGTTTTGTTTTAATATAAATTAAGAGCAATGCTAACCGAGATTATTACAAAAATACATGTGACATCCTATAAAAATCATTGCAGACACGAGACTTTATGGGTCGTCGCATAACAAAATTTAAAACAATAAAATAATCGAATACAGGAATTTATATTTTTTCTCCTGATCGATTTTTTCAAAGCTTTTATAATATCAAAATACCTTGAATAGTTGGCAGCACCATACACAACAGGCACTGCATTATTCTGTAAGGCATGTAACAATTTCTCTGTAACATAATCTTCACTAAAAGAATTCTCAAATGCTAAATAGAAATAATACGTTTCAGCTATCTTTCTGTCACATTCGCTTCTGTTAAATCTAGGACATGAGAACGGTCCACATTTGCCATATATATCTAGTTGAAGGTTATATTTCTCAAGTTCTGTTTTTATTTTGAGTGCAATTTTCATTCTTCCGGATTGATCATCGCAATTAGAAACAAACCACGCCGCTGCTTTGCTTTTAGTCTTCAGTTTTTCTTTGAATGCTACATCTACAGGTAGCATATCTTCATATCTTAGCCAATGCATTATTTTTTTTGGGCCAATAACTGTACCGTTTATATCTGTGACATATATATAACCTAATCTCGCATCTGAATCGAGTCTGTATGTCCAAGTCCAATTGAAATAGTTATCAAATTTATTAGAGCACACAGGGTAGTTATGAGAGGATTCCATGGAAACGAAAACGAATTTCTGATGTGGTGACCTAATTGCGGGCATATTAGCCATATCTTTTTTTTTATTAATTTCAGGTCCGTGAAATATGACGACGTCGAATTTTGTGATATCTTTCAAATAAGACCTGTCTGATGTTATATAACAGTTAGTATATCGGCAACCTCTCTTCTTAAAACCTTCGTGACCGTGGCCTAAAAACGCAAATGGTTCGGTATATGGTGATGTCCATTCCAGTATGTAAATCGACGAAGCATCACTTTTGCTCTCAAACGTTGATTTTAGCATTTCTTCTGAATCACTTAAATTATAACTTTGGTTTCCAATTGTCCTTGATACGTATATAACGAATAAAATCACAGAGAAAAGAGAATAAAAAAAGAAAACTTTTGAATAAAAATGACGTCGCATTTTGAATGCAATTCAATTGGATTATAATTTTGAACGCACCAATCCACTTATCGCCCGATTCAACTGATATGTGTTTACAAAACAAAATGTTCACTCGAAACCACATCGGATATAACAATTTAAGTTTCTTCTGTTACCGAATTGTTGCATATGACATATTTGTTTGTAAAACCATTAAAACACTCAAATATGTTAAAAAGTATAGCTTGAATCTGTCATTTGCACTTCCCGATTGTTAAATCCTATGAGTTTATAAATTGTGTATTGTAAGTATGCACTGTTTTATGCTTCGTATGCGGTTACTGTGTGGTCCACGTGCAATGCGTAAAATAAGCGCATTGAAGGTATACACAAACAAATTGTTCGACATCTTAACTTCAAATGTAGAAACACAGGCATGTGCACTCATTACGAAGAAACTATTACTAACTCCTCACATTGGATTAGCTTCGACAGATTCTAGATATCGGTTTATTACATGACGTCATCAACTTGTAGTTACACTGGAAAACATAATCATTACGATAAGGAAACGTTAATCTTGACTATTAGTCTTAGGATAAGCGCTAACTTAACAAGAATTTACTTAACACTAAAAATTAATTATAACAGGCTTGGTACTGTTTTGCAGAATAAGAGCAATAACTGAAACTATACAGTAATATTTGTCAATGTTCTAATATTAAAATAAATACCGAAAGAACATTAAACACTTTTATCACTCTGATTTAATTTTATAGTAATGTAATTTAATTTATTTTACTATTTTTCAGACTTAGTATAGCGAGTGTTTATAAAATTTATATAAAATCTTTGGTATAAAAACTCCTTTATATAATTTTGTCTGCCAGTTTGTCAGTTATATAGTACTAGCCTTCCGCCAGCGGCTTCACCCACGCGATCTAGTAAGTCCAGAAATGAGAAAATTCCATTAAAGAAATAAAAAAAAATCAACTCTGAAGAACCATTCTGGTATTGCGGGTTACTACGGGTTTGCTTTCCAGCGTCGATATATACAGAATGTGTCTTCATTCAATTGATGTTCAGTATATTTAGTTCACTCGCACCTGGCACCATTGTTATCACTATTATCTTCTATCTCGCTAACTTTAGTCGAACAGATATGCTGTCCTTTAATGCCACTTCAATATTCTCTCGCTAAATCAATTATAGAGGTTAAGTTTGTTGCAACAATGTAACGGACTCATTTGGTACTGTGTGGATTGTCCTTAAATTGTTGATTTCATTTAAAATAACATTCTAAACGTTTCACAAGACAGTTACCTTCTTCCTATTCCACACAAACTATGATCAGAATGTAGCATATTATCCAAATATTTTACGTATACATAATTATAAATTCAGCTAGGTATACTGAATACTTGATATTTCTATAATCAACACAGTTGATAATCACATGTCACTTTTAAGGCTCGGAAAATACTAATGAATAATAAAATTATTGCGCTAGTTTATTATATCACAAATAGATAAGATATTTTTAATTGTTAGTCTTATCGTTTTATGTAATTCATTATATAACTAAATTCTATTTTATAGTATTTGTTTTCCTTATATATACAGAACAATAATCAAAAATAGTAGGTACGGTTCATTTGTGATTAAAAATAATATTTCATTTAATTAAAATAATACTATAAAGGAGAATGGGCAGAAGTCGGCTAAAATTACGCAAGTTGCGCACTATGCTTTTATTTATTATAATACTATTTTAAAATTATGCGGCTTTTAAAATTAACCGTATTAAAATAATCGCTGACTAATTTAGACTCATGATATGTCAACCATGCAACAAAAGACATTATAGAAAACTAAGGGATTAATCCACGTATCGAAAAAAATCAATTGTTTAATTACTATCTAAGATAAGACTTCCTTCGGTTTTCTTTTGAGCATGAACAAAGGTATGTACGCTATTTCACAGTGGTAGGAGGCAAATTAATCCAATCGGCCAGGTGGCGCATCTTAATATGACGCGTACAGACTGAACCAAGGATCGGCCAAGTTAACGTTCGTCACTAATCCCAAAGAATAGGCTTCGTTTATTCATAAAGGCATAAGGATAAGATTAAAATATGCTATGGTTATAAAATATGGTATTTAATTATGCTCCATTATTGTTTAATGATGATCAATAAACAAGTACATAAATACGTTTGCTAATTTTTATTTTACATACTTGCTTCCCTTACTCTCGAACGCAATCGCGACCAATAGACTTTGTAATTGTGCCGTTTCGTAGATACTCTTTATTGGGTACTGCGAATTAGGTATCTATTGATAATTGCGAATTAACCGTGAGTGTTCACGGAGGAAGAAAGATGCGTGTTTAAGCGGTGTTATACATAAATATAACAAGATTCCATTAGATAATAAATATCTAAATATATTAAGATTGCTAGTGACATTCGTAATAATATTTTCTTTAGCGGTGGGTATATAACTACCTGCTACAATACTCGTATAACTACGATTTCTGACTAAGTTTCAAGTTATTAATTGACTTGACGTGCGAACTTCCTAGCGCTACTTTTACAAAATAAAATATTTTAACTCTGATAATGTTGGTCAGGTATCTTTTCTACAATGGTTGGTTTCAACAATGTGCACAGTAACGCAAAAATAGCCGAACTCTCATAGTAAGTTGTTTTTTAAAGGAGAATGGCTAGTTTAAAAAAAATTATACTTCGCGCCTCGTTCTCGAGATTAGTATTTATTTGATTAGATTATATTACTAGTAGTATCGCATATGTGTCACTACTCCGGCACTATAGTTGAGATTTCTTTGCATTTGCTTTTTTTTTTATTACAAGGGTAGTTCTCATCTTCTTAGTCGATACCGTTCCCTGCCGTCTTCATTCGCTTTATAGTGCCCGACTGCTCCGGTCGTATTCCCAATAACGTGTAGGTATAACAGATCGTTAAAATGCCGAAACGTACGAAAGTTAGAACATGTGAAGAAGAGTTAAAAACATCCTCAAAGAAAATGCGTAAATTAGAACAAAAAATATGTGATAAGGAAAGTTCAGTTAGTGACTTGTGCCCGAATTTATTGGTACGGAATGCAATCAGAAAAGTCATTGGGGCTTATTCAACGCATTCAGTAAATCAGTTAGCGTTCAATTCATTGGGGATCTACCTAACTTTGACAAGATAACTATCGTTATCTAAAAGTGCTATTGTACATATCGTACCTACCTATCAGACTATAACGAATTTCGTTAAAACAAAAAATATGCACCTGAACTGCCGTTGGGGTTGATTCTTCGCATACTTTTATGGATGACTATGATCGTCATAGTCATAATATGAATGAAAATCTCAAACGATTTTCTTATCTTTCTGTCGCCCCACCTATGATGCCGAGTGATTGGTTATTAGAACAACCTCATTATGACGATGATCCACAATCCATGATTGGTATCAGTGACATTCAAAACTTATACACTGAGGATGACTGTGTCGACGCGACGACCGTTAACGTACCACCTGTCGAGTCAGAGTTACGGCCCCAAGAAGGGGTCCATAACGAAAATGATCTGGACACCGATGTCCTTGAAATTCTCGGCGAAGATCCTTCGCACTTAGAGAACCTCGGTAATGATATCCGACAGAACTCGTTTGTCGATTAATTCATATTACCATAGAGGGCTTAATAAAGATATCCGTAAGGAGCTGATAGCGAAGTACCCAATTGCTGCTAATTGTTCTCTTATTAGTGCTCCAAAACTTTACCCTGAAATCAAGGCTGCCATACTTGAAAATACTCTTAAGAGGGACAAAGGCATAGAGGGTAAACAAACGCAAATGGCCAGTGCTATTGCTTGTCTTGGGAAAATAATTATTGCTCATCTTAACTCTAAGGAAAATGATAAAGAATAACTGCTTTAGCTAATGGACCGCAGTCGTTTACTGTGCGATATTCAACATAGCGATTCAGTTACTAGAAGAAACTTTATAATGTTTTCATTAAAAAAGATCGATTCATTTTTATTCGGCGAAACATTGACTGCAACTCTTGCGACAGCAAAATCAATAAACAAGTCTGGAATCAAATTAAAGGCTGACCCTTCTACAAAAAATATAAGTAAACGGCAATAAATATCTAATCAGAATCAGTTAAACCGGAAAGCTCCCGGGCCGGCGTACAAGCAACCAGGCCCATCGCAGAGGAGTCGCGAGCCTGCATTCCCGCGCAGATTACCTCCCCCACCTCCGCCTGCGCACTCATCAAGGCAGTGGCCGCGTCCGCAACCGCTGCCGCCGCCACCACCGCCGCCCGCCACCGTCTCAAACACAGGGACGACGTCGTTACTGAATACATTCCCGAAGGATTCACGAATCGATTACCCTGGTGGCAGCAACCTTACCAGGAACGCGTTATCAAGAAGGAGCTTACCAACTTCCTCCCTGGATATAATGTTAGCCTCATTATCCCCTAATTCACTCAGTCAATATGACGTATACTTAAAAAAAAAAACGGTGGACCTTTTGCAATAATAATTCCATTGACGTATTTATAGCTTCAGTCCCTACCGTTATTTACTTCCTTACTGTGTTCTTTAACGATGGTGGTCAATTCGGTACATTGAATTCATGCAGATCTGCCTTATCTTTTTTATTAGGATCACACATAGGTAAAGATGACAGAGTTCAGAGATTCTTAAGGGTGTGTTTCGTCTTCAACCACCCCTTCCAAAGTATAACTTTACATGGGATATGAATTGCGTTTTAGATCAAATAAGCCAATGGTTCCCATATGAGGACCTAACGTTAGAGCAATTGACTAAAAAGACATTAACCTTACTGGCTTTAACTACAGCACATAGAATGCAAACGTTGTCAAAAATCGAAATCAAAAACATACACATATCTCACAGTCAGGTTGTTATTAAAATACCACAAATTATTAAGACTTCAAAACCAGGTCGTGAGCAACCAATACTTTATTTACCATTTTTCAATAGTAGGCCAAATGTGTGTCCAGCAAAAACACTACTATGTTATATTAATGAGACAAACTCCCTTAAGAAAATCTGATGCTCTGTTTATAGGTATTAAAAAGCCGTCAGTGCGATCCGTAATACTGCGGGCTGGAGGGGCAACTCTACCGTGTTCACACGATTTTACAACAGATCTATT